ATGAATGATAAGATGGATGAAATATGCGAAATGATGAATGATAGAGGAATAGATGTGTTATGTGTAAACGAGACGAAACGAAAGGGAAGAGATGTCACTGCACATGGCATGTATACCGCTTACTGGTCTGGAGTAGACGAGACCGAGCGGGCATGTCAGGGAGTCGGTGTCATCCTTTCAGAAAGAATGGGTCAATGTGTGAAAGAGTATGAATGTGTTAGCCCAAGGCTGCTGTGGATACGAATGAAAGTGGGCTTAAAGAAGTTGTTTGTGCTAGGGGTGTACGCCCCAGATATGTCTAAGCCCACTTATATCCGAGAGCAGTTTTGGGACATGGTAAGACTGGTGTTGATGAAATGTAAGGAAAATGAAAATATTATTATGTTAGGAGATTTTAATGGAAGGGTTGGGGTGAAGAGGTCTGGTTATGAAAGGATATTAGGAACGTTTGGCGATGAAAGAATAAATGAGAATGGTGAAGACCTCCTCACCGTATGTGTGGAAAAGAATCTTTTTGTGGCGAACACTTTCTTTCGCCATAAGAGGATTCACATGTATACATGGGAAAGAGGGGATGATAGAAGCATGATAGATTTTATAATTGTGGATGAAAGAATGAGGAGCGCAGTGGTAGATACAAGGGTTTACCGGGGGTCCAACGTAGGGACGGATCATTACTTGGTCTTATGCCGAATTAATGGTCTATTCAGACGTTGGCGGCATCGGACATCGGTGTCTACCACTGCGTTACAGCGTATAAGAATAGAGAGGTTACAAGATGAAGGTGTGAAAGAGAAGTATAAATGCAGATTGAGGGAAAATATAAGTAGGTTGAATGAATTATGTATGAATGATTTAGAATTGAAGAATGTATGGAATAATATTAAGAAAGTTTTGGTGGATGCAGCCACCGAAGTATGCGGTGTAAGTAAGAGAACGAATGAAAGGAAAAGTAATACGTTGTGGTGGGATGATGAGGTACGGATGGAAGTTGAAGCAAAGAAGAGAGCATGGCTAGATTTACTAGCAACTAAAGCTGGTAATTCTGGCGGTATGAATGATGAGATTGAAAGAAAAAAGGCAGACTTTAGACGTATAAATAAGAGAGTAAAAGAAGTTGTTGAAAGGAAAAAGCAAGAAAGGATAGATAAGAATGATAGAAGGATATCTGATAACTTCCAGGCAAATATTAAAATGTTCTGGAAGCTCGTAAGAACTGCCAGGGGAAATTCAAAACAGCCTAGAATAAATGCTATACGAGACGAGAATGGCTGCATGCTGAATGATGAAGTTTCGAATTTAAAGAGATGGAAGGAATACTTTGAAAGCGTGTTTAAGAGTGAAGAGTCGTCTGGAATAAGTGAAATAGAAATTGCGGAAGAAGTGGAGAGAGGTAGGGAGATAAGTGTAGATGAAATAATGAAAGCAATGAAAAGCATGAAAGCAGGTAAGGCAGCCGGATATGATAGAATATCACTCGAAATGCTAAGGGCTGGTGAGGGTGTGGTTGCAGGCCTGCTGCACACCTTGTTTAATTTATGTTGGGAACTGAAACGGGTACCGGAAGACTGGTGCAAAGCCGTTGTAGTCCCAATATATAAGGGAAAGGGGTCGCAGCAGGACTGTAAAAACTACCGTGGTATCAGCTTGCTTAGCATTGTGGGTAAACTGTATGCTAAGGTGTTAATTGAAAGAGTTATGGAAGAAACTGATGGAAAAATTTGGGATGTGCAAGCTGGATTTAGAAAGGGGATGGGGTGTACGGATCAAGTCTTTTCCATGCGCATGATAGCGGAGAAGTTTTTGGCTAAAAACCAGAAAGTTTTTTGTGCGTTCATGGACTTGGAAAAGGCTTATGACAGAGTGGACAGGAATGTGTTATGGCAAACACTGAACTCATTTGGGTTGAGCGCTGGCTTGATACAGGCATTAAGATCTCTTTATAGGGACTCTAGTGCTTGTGTCAGGATAAACGGGGTCTACTCGGACTGGTTTGGCATTCATAAAGGTGTCAGACAGGGATGTGTGGCTTCCCCGTGGCTGTTTAACTTATTTATGGACAGTTGTTTGCAAACTTTGAAAGTTGAAGAATGTGGGTTGAGAATGGGTGAGTCAACCGTCAAATGCCTTTTGTACGCCGATGATCAAGTCATATTTGCATCGTCGGCGGCCGAGTTGCAAATGATGGTTACTTTAATGAATTGGTCATTGAAAGAAAGGGGTATGAAAGTGAACGCAAGTAAGACGAAAGTGATGGTTTTTGAAAGAGAAGAAAGTAAAACTTTATGTGAAATAAGAATAGAAGGGGAGTTGATTGAGCAAGTGGATGAGTTTGTATATTTGGGATGTTTATTTAGCAGGGATGGTAGATATGATAAGGATATAGAACGACGAGTGAACGCAGGAAATAGAGTGAATGGGGCTCTACACGCTATTATGAGGAGTCAGAATGTGTCAACTAAGGCACGTATGGCAATTCATAATGCTGTGTTAGTCCCTACTTTAATGTATGGTAGTGAAAGTTGGGTCTGGCAGAAGAAGCATGAGAGTAGAATAAATGCTGTAGAAATGCGTTCCTTAAGGAGTATGCTAGGGCTGAATCTGAATGACAGAGTGAGAAATAGTGTGATAAGAGAAAAGTGTGGTTTGCAAGATGACGTTGTGACAAGGATTAAGAAAGGAATGCTTCGGTGGTTTGGTCATGTAGAAAGAATGAACGAGGAAAGAGTGACAAAGCAAATTTATGTTGCGGAAGTGAACGGCAGGGTCGGGAAGGGACGCCCTAGACGAAGGTTTATCGACCAAATCGGCGATACATTAAAAATGGGCCAGATTAGGAGTACCCATAACCGACGGGCGTGTATGCGTAGATATATGGATGTAAAAGAGGCGAGAGAGGTGTGTCAGGATCGCGCCAAATGGAAGTCCGTAGTCTCTGCCTACCCCTCTGGGTGACAGGCGTGAGTGTTTATGATTGTACCTAAATGTTACCGTCACAACCTATCAAAAGTCAACTCACTTGTACGTGGTAGAGCCATGCTGCAGCTATATTAGAGGTAGTGTAGTTGTAGCACGAATGGGTCGGCTCGACCGGGGAAGGACCACGCTCTCACAGAATACTAGCGTAAAATGGCAGCCTGACACTGCTGTGTTTCGTATGGTGAGTGTAGAGAACCGGAGACCCATTTTATTGGAAAAGAGGCATTCCATCTTAGTCCTCACGGGTGACGACGCATCTGTGGATCACAGCAATCACTTACCATCAGGTGGACTGTGTGCTCGTTTGTCACCCTATCCTATAAAAATAAACTGCTGAACATAGACCTCCTCCATAGATTGCTTCATAGGCGGATATTTCCTATAGCTACCACGCTTGGCAAGCAGGTTGGAAACTGCAGTTGTTTATTTTTTAGCTGATATTAGACGCTACTGCCTTACTCCTTGTTTCTTTCACGGAACGATAATTACGAGGGCGGCACTGAAAATTTCGGGAATCAAGGAAGTGACACAACATTACTATTTAAAAATGTATTTATTGCTTTTCGAAGTATTCTCCGCGAAATTTGACACATTTTTCCATACGATGGAACCAATCATTGAAAGCAACCATTCCATTCGGAAGTTGGGGTCTCCAAAATGGCCGTTTTGTAGGCGTCCAGAGCTTCTTCAGGTGATGAAAATCTCTGTCCACGCAATTTATTCTTTATTTTAGGGAAAGTATAGAAATCATTAGGGTTTAGGTCGGGGCTGTACGGCGGATGGTCTAATAATTCTATGTTTTCTTGCTCTAAAAACTCTTTTGTTCTGTGTGCGGTGTGAGAACTCGCATTGTCGTGATGGAGGATGATGCGGCGGTTGCAGTTCTCTTTACGGAGTTCATAAACGACCTGTGGCAAACAAATGCTAGCATACCATTCTGCATTAACCGTTCTTTGTCCCTCAAGAGGAATAGTCGTAACATTGCCGGTTTTGGAGACAAACGTGGCCACCATTTTTTTGAACGAACAATTTTTGTTGGCTTTAACTCATTTTCGAACATCCAAACTCGTGACTGGTTTTTTGTTTCGGGTTCGTACGCGTATATCCAGGATTCGTCACCTGATACGATTTTGTATACAGCATTTGAGGATCCTGCGTGGAATCTTTCGAGAGTTCTGACGCACCAAGTAACGCGAGGCGCTTTTTGCTCTTCACAGAGCGAATGCGGTATCCATCGGGAAAACAACTTTTTTACACCTAATTGTTCATGCAAGATTATTTGTATTTGACTCATGCCAATGTCTAAAATTGCCTGAATTTCGCGGTATGTCACATGTCGATCTTCCTCAATCAGCTTACGCACAGCGTCAACGTTTTCTTGGGTAACTGCAGTTTTTGGACGACCTTGACGGGGATCATCACTGAGCTTGACACGTCCACGTTGAAATTCAGCAAACCAGCGATAAGTTGTGGTTTTGGATGGGGCTTCATCACCAAATGCAGAAATCATCCGGTCAACACATTGTATTTGTGTTAAACCACTTCGAAAGACATAATAAATCATCGCTCTTGAATTTTCTCGAGTCAATTCCATTTTCTTAACGACTAAACAAGTTTGACAAAACCTTGTGACAAGACCGAGAATCTTTTTTTAAATAAATAAATGGTATTCAATTTTAAAAAAACCAAGGAGTTTCAATTAAAAGGATTTTAATATGACAGGAACAGTGGAAATATTCCATTCCCGATACTTTTAGTGCAGCCTATGTATATTGTAGTGGATATTCTTATATCACCACTACGCGGTAAATGTAGTAGTTTTTATAAAAAAATATTTTTAAACTGACCAGGGTGTCGTTCACATATTATGAAAGAACTGTGATGGTCACTAGGGCGCATGCTCCCGACCTCTGACATTCAGAACTTTAATATTTCATGTTTAGAGTTCAAATTCGCAATCGTATAGTCAATCTGAACATTTCTACTATAAAGCCGAGATTCGAGTAATTCTGATTTTTGTTAGTTCCTTTCGTGTCGCTGAGGGGGAAGGTTCAATTTTGTGTAAAGCGCGGGAAATGAAATTACATCATGGATTAAGAAATGAATGCGTTTGTTTCCTTATAAGTAAAATCATTGATAAAATATATAAAAATACAGAGAATAAGGAATAATAAATCGTTACCTAATTAGAATATGTGACAGCTTTATTACAGTTGACTCTAAACAGTTTTTGTTATTGTTATTGGTTAATATTAGTGACATCTGTAACTTCGGTGAAAAAATGGCATTTAGTTCGTTGTCGCCGTCAAACATGCTTGGCGAACTCGGCCGTCTCGCGAACTGGTTGAAAGGTGATTGCGTTGCATCTGACGAGTTTGCCGGTATTTCTGTTACGGAAAAGGTAAGCTGTAAGAGATTTGTAATTTTACTTTAGTCGACACTAATTGGTAGAACTCCTTTTGTGCTTAGGAGGCCGTCTGTGTAGGTACTACCCACTTACCTATCTCTGCCGCCAAACACCATTGCGTGTATCCTATAAAAAAATCCAGCTATTTGACAATTTATGGGGGAGGCTTAGGTTCATTTCAGTAGACTTTTGATAGGCTGGCGATAATGAGTTCTACTCATCTTTGCAGCCCTTAATATTTACGCTAGAGTGAAAACAAAAAGTAACATACCCGAAAATATGAATGTAATAAAAACTGCATACATAATATATTGCCCCATGAAAAGTAAAAAAGTAGCAGATTACTACTGGGTACAGGCCGCAGAGCTTTTGGCCAAAAAAGTGTTCGCTGCGCTGATTCCAACGCCGGATGAATGTAATGTAAATGACTCAATTATTTACATCGTATATTCAGTAGCATTGTATTATTAGATTTTATCAATGTCTTGCCATTTTAGTTTATTTAGAAGTAAGTAGTGGCGCTATTATTAGAAGAAACAATGAAAGCCAAAACTATACTATCTAGTAATATCAACGATAGGAACGAGCATTTATTTATATGAAAAGTAAAAAAGTAGCAGATTACTACTGGGCACAGGCCGCAGAGCTTTTGGCCAAAAAAGTGTTCGCTGCGCTGATTCCAACGCGGGATGAATGTAATGTAAATGACTCAATTATTTACATCGTATATTCAGTAGCATTGTATTATTAGATTTTATCAATGACTTGCCATTTTAGTTTATTTAGAAGTAAGTAGTGGCGCTATTATTAGAAGAAACAATGAAAGCCAAAACTATACTATCTTGTAATATCAACCATAGGAACGAGCATTTATTTATTATATCAATAAGGCATAAAGTGGTAAAGCGCACTGAGCACTGACTTGACGATATTGTAATTGGATGGAAAGACAGATGCTTATTCCACTCGATTACTGTCTCGTTACGAACGATGGTACAAATAGTTTAGTTCGAATGCGTTGTGGTTATGTCGGCAATAAGGAATTCCAAATCATATCTTAAATGCAAATGGATTAAAATAGTTGCCTGTGACTGTGAACCTGTGCTGGCATTCATTATAGCTTCTCGAGATTTGGCATAACAATTACTGCATTAGTATACTATCAATAATACATTAATTTACAGTCGATATAAGTCCTATTGTCCAATAATCCCACTGGGCACAGTTGTTCTCACTTTACTTATTATTTAATTAATTACTACACTTCATTTGTTTTATTATTCGAAGTGTCCCGACAATAATGATAAGTTAAAAATTACAGCCTTTATACGTCCCAATTGTGGGCACAGGCTTCTTCTCAAATTTGCGAGGCTTATTGAGCATTTACCGTGGCGCGCTACGCTGCGGCTAAAAGTGTGTTGACAGACTTCGTATCTGCGAAATATTTTATTCCTTGTACATGCACGTTTCATCACGTTTTATACGTGGTAGAGCCATGGTGCTGTTATATTAGTGGTATAGTTGTAGCACGAACGGGTTGGATCGACCGGGGAAGGACCACGCTCTCGCAGAATACCAGCGTAAAATAGCAGCTTAAAGCTGCTGTGACGTATGCGTGAGTGTAGAGAGCCGGAGACCCTTTTCTATCGACTTCAAAAAGGAGGAGGTACTCAATTCGACTGTATGTTCTTTTTTATTTTATTTGTGTTATCTCATAACTCTTTTCTGGGTGAACCGATTTCGATGATTCTTTTTTTTTATTTGAATGGTGGTGCTTCTCATGTGGTCCCATATAAATTTTATCAAGGTCTGACCAGGTTTTTGAGTTATTCTTAATAATTTATATTGAAGTCGGTTGTACAACATTTTTAATTTTAAATTATCACATGTCGTTTCTAGTAAAAAGGTGTCTCCGGTTCTCTACACTCACAGCTGCAGCGCTATGCTGCTATTTTACGCTGGTATTCTGTGAGAGCGTGGTCCTTCCCCGGTCAAGCCGACCCATTCGTGCTACAACTATACTACTAATACAGCTGCAGCATGGCTTTACCACTAATCCCAATCGTCCTAATCTATACAAATAAATAAAATTGAAGTGTCTGTTTGTTATGTCAAAATTACAGTTTTTTACTAAATGCATATGAAAGTAAATACGGTACTTATAATTAAAATACAATTTTTAAAATTTTTGTCTGTCGGACTGTCTTTCTGTTTGTTCCGGCTAATCTCCGAAACGGCTGAACCGATTTTGACGGGACTTTCACTGGTAGATAGCTGATTTTATAAGGAGTAACTTAGGCTACTTTTACTTCAGAAAAAGAATTAGGGTTCCGCGCAAAAACATAGAAACTCTAACACGCGGGCGAAGTCGCGGGGAACAGCTAGTATTTAATAAAACACATAATCACGTTATAAAAATATGTAGGTACATATAATTTATGCCAGTGATGACGTATGGATCTGCGACGTGGTCCATCACTGCTTGCCGTCTCACGAGTCACTGACGACATTACAGACGTTCAGTTCACGCAACTCCAAAAATACACGGAAACTGATAACTAGTTAATAAAATTAAAGAAGTACGTGCTAAAGGGCTGGCCAAGTGTCAAAGGAGAAGTGGACGATATAGTCAAGCCGTATTGGAACTATAAAGATGATTTGTCTTTTGCGCATGGATTAGTTTGTAAAAATGTGAGAATTATTATTCCTAAAATATTAAGACAAGAATTTTTTAACAAACTTCATATAGGCCACATGGGTCTTGAGAAATGTAAACTAAGAGCAAGAGAAATTTTATTGTGGCCGGGGCTAAGTAATGACTTAAAAAATATGGTGTCAAATTGTCAAATATGCTTATCATTTAGACGAAATAATCAAAAGGAAGTACTACAATGTCAAGAAATACCGGATAGACCGTGGGCCAAAATAGGAGTAGATTTATTTCAAGTAAAAGACCAAAATTATTTGTTACTAATAGATTATTATAGCAAATTTTTTGAATTAGTCGAATTGCAGTCAACGCAGTCGCTTTCTGTTTTTTCATGTTTAAAAAATGTATTTTGTAGACAAGGTGTACCCTACATAGTTATGACTGATTGTGGTCCACAGTTTACGTCGAGTGCTTTTAAACAGTTTTCATCAGAATGGTATTTTACTCACATGACTTCTTCGCCGCGTTACGCTCAATCAAACGGACAAGTTGAACGGACCGTTCAAACAATAAAGAACATTATTCTGAAGTCTACCGCGGAAGGGCAGGATTACAGGTTGGCTTTATTAGAATATTTAAATACTCATTTAGATGAAAACTTGCCTTCTCCTGCAGAATTATTACAGAGTAGAAAATTGAGAAGTATATTGAGAAGTATCTACAAAAATTTTAAAACCTGAAGCACAAAAAATATGTTTTAAGTAAATTAAAAGAAAAACAACTGAAACAAAAAATGTATTATGATCGCAATGCAAAAAATTTGCAAAACCTAAATGTCGGGCAGAATGTAAAAGTGCTACTAGACGTAAATAAACGAAATTGGATATCCGGCACTATTACAAGGAAAATAAGAGACCGCTCATATGAAATTAAATTAGTTACCGGTAATAAAATAGTTAGAAACAGAAAACATATAATAAAAGATTCACCAAACAGACATGACACTCCTAACTACGATTTTGAATATGATGACGTTAATGCCAGTGTATCTTGCCACAACCAAAATATGTACCCAACGCAGAGAGAAAATACAACTAATAATAATTATGTTACTCGATCCGGCAGGACAGTGAAACCATCGAATAGATTTGGACATTCAACATAAACTGGTGCATCATGGTTCATCTTACAAAGTATGTGAAACAACTGCGTGTATGCAAATAAACTTATATCATTTACTATATTTTATATCATTTAAATTTTGTTAATTTAATTTTTAATGGTTTATATATAATTGTAATTTTAATGAATAATATTTACGGAATCATAATTATCACTTTGTTAATTTATTTTAGTTAATTTAATTTATATTTAATTCATATACAATTCAATGTACTTATGCAATATTGTTTAATGCTTAATAATTCAAATAATATTAATAAAATTTGTAAGATTAAAAGTGCTGATTAAAGATAATATGAAATGAAATTATTAAAGTAATACTTAATAATATTTGTACAATACGAATCTTAATTAGTTCAATTTTTTTTTCAATCTTGTTATAATTGATGTTTTTAAATAAAACATATTATGATCTTGTAATTATATTAAAAAAATGCATGTTAATTTTAAGTAAACATGATTTAAAAAGTTAAAAAAAACATATATATTTATATACAACAAATATAATTTCAGCATATAATTTACACGTTTATAAATTGGTGTTTAATGATTTTATTTTATTTTAGTATAATTACTGTGTAGCTATGTCAGATATGTAAACATGTGCGAAGGAAGCTATTTGTTTATTTGAGGGAGAAGGATGTGATGGTACTTGTAAAATAAAAATAAAGTCAGTTCTTGCCAGGACACCGTGTTCGATTGACGTACGCCACACGTGACACCACGGAATTCAGATCTTTCTCCTAATGATTATTTTTTGTGGGGTCACCTAAAAGCAAGAGTCTACGAAAATAATCCAACAACAGTTGAAGAGTTGAAGCAAAACATTGTGCAAGAAATTAACGCTATTCTACGAGCAACTTATCAACATGTTTTTCAAAATCAGCGAGTGCGACTACAAGAATGTCAAAAAGCTGGTGGCGGTCACTTAAATAACATTATCTTTAAAAATTTGATGTCCCTTAAATTTCCATTACCTGTACTTTTTATATGTATAAATAAAAAAACAATAAGATTTATAGTTATTTTTTTATTGCATATTGAAACCACTCATACAGTCAAGGCTCAACCTGTATAATCATCGAAATCGGTTGACGTGGTAAAAGAATTATGCGCCCATATTATGCTGTACAGTTGCCTTTGCAAAGTTAAAAGTGATGAT